CTATCTCAAAAAAAAAAAAAAAAAAAAGAATGTAAAATATTTCATTAATAATATTTATACTGGATTTAGTTGAATAATATTTTGAATATATTGGATTAAATAAAACATACTATTAAAATTAATATTACCTGTTTATTTTTGCTTTAATGTAGTGTCTAGAAAATTTAAAGTTAAATGTGGGTTTGCATTATATTGCTATGGGACAGTACTGCTTGAGATGATTATCCCAATTAAAAATGTATTTGTCTTTTCCTTTTCTTTGTTACCAGGGCAACAGGGAGGAAGCTGACAACCCAAATACAGGGATTGGTGCCTTCCGATTCATGTTGGAATCCAACAAGGGCAAGTCAATGTTAGAGTTCCAGGTACTGTTGCATATACTTCCCTGGCTCCAATAACATGGGTCAGCCTACTACTATATCTTCCCACTAATCTCTAACTTAGTGATACTGGAAAGGAAGGGAAATAAAGTTGTTAGAATATTTTTCAAAATATAAACACCTTCCTTCCTTCAAGGGAATATTGGAGTGATGAGGAGTGCTTCCACAAATCCATTTTGTAAAAGGTTTCCCATGTAATTCTTTCATAACCTTGCAATACAAAATCACTGTCCTGGTTCTTTTTATCTTCTTCCCCCAGGAGCTAATGACAGTTTTTCAACTGCTGCACTGGAATGGCAGCCTTAAGGCCATGAGGGAAAGACAGTGCTCTCGGCAGGTAAGAGATTTTATGAGTCAGCTGGGGTGGGCGTCTGGCAGAAGACTATTTTGAGGTGGCTACTATGTTAGAAATAAGTAGGCCTATGGTTATTGGGTTGTGAAAATCATAAATATCCTATCCACTCATATAACTTTTTTTTTTTTTTTTTGAGACAGAGCCTCGAGTTCTTGCCCTGGTAGAGTGCCATGGCATCACAGCTCATAGCAACCTCCAACTCCCGGGCTCAAGTGATTCTCTTGCCTCAGCCTCCCAAGTATCTGGGACTACAGGCGCCTGCCACAATACCCAGCTATTTTTTTGTTAAAGTTGTCGTTGTTTGGCAGGCCCAGGCTGGATTCAAACCCGCCAGCTCTGGTGTATGTGGCTGGTGCTTTAGCTGCTTAAGCTATAGGCACTGAGCCTCTATTTAACTCTTTAACTGTGATTCTTTTGCGTGTCTTACTTTCCAGAACAGAAGTTTCCCTTAGGGAACTCCTTGAAAGACTTAGGTGCTGACCTGAGTTAGGTCTCCAAGGCTAAGAGCTCCTAGTCCCTGATATGAACTTTTACTTTCTCAGTGATCTTCATGTTCCCCCCCCCCACCCCCCACCTAGGAAGTGTTGGCTCATTATTCACACCGGGCCCTGGATGATGATATTCGCCACCAAATGGCCTTGGACTGGGTAAGCCGGGAGCAGAGTGTACCCGGGGCACTGTCTAGAGAGCTGGCATCCACCGAGCGAGAGCTGGATGAAGCCCGACTGGCAGGCAAGGAGCTGCGCTTCCACAAGGAGAAGAAGGATATTCTCATGCTGGCTGCTGGGCAGTTGGGCAATATGCATTCTTCCAACTGTTAGGCATCCACCCACACACTCTCATCCTCTCCAGGCCTTATTGTATGTCTCCTTTCTAAGACTTGAGATGATTTCTGTATATACTTCCTCAATTTTATACTTTAAAATATAGATATATATGTGTAAATTCTACACCTGGATTCCTGTTTGCTAAGAGATCCTTTTTTTACTTTCAGTTTTTAGATGTAATTTCATTTGAAGCATCTTCGCACTAATTTAAAGGAAGGAGCCAGGTGTTTTTTGAGCTCTTAAACTTCCAGACTAACTCTGTGGCCATTTCAGTAGCATAATATCATTGACTAAGTGTTCATGTCTCCTTTTAAAATAACAGGTAGCCTGAATAAGCAATGTGCCCCACCCTTACTTCATTCCTGATTTGTCTTGGAATCAAACAATGTATGAGTGTGAAGCCTTGGCTTTATTTTACCTTTAGCTGAATCTACTTGGTACCCCTCTCCATCACTACTTTACTCCTCTGCTTCCAAGTTCTACTTTGTTTTGAGGCTTCCTTACCTTAGTATTCCAAAGGACTTGGAGATCTAGTTTCTTATTTCCCCTCTCCCCCTTTGCCTGGTTTCTTATTTTTAAATCACTACAAAGAAACTTCCCAGGAATGAGAAAAATTATAAACACAATTCATGAGACTTTACTATCTAAGTTGCTTCTGGAGCATAGTTATAGCAGTAGTCCAGATTTCCAGATGTACACTACAGTAAGAAGGGTCAAGGTTGAAGCTAATTGTTGTTCAGTCTTCCTTTTTCCCTTCTCACCTGCTCTCCCAGCTTAGTTAAATCATGTTTTTAGATCTTCCTGCCTACCTAGACTAAAGGAAGGTAAAACATATTTCCCTGCTCCTTCTCTAGAATCATTTTGCTTTTGGATGCATTATTGATCCTATTTGATGAGGAAGGGCCATGTTCCTCTCACTCCCACTAAATTGTTGCTGTTTACTGCCTTAGAAGTACATACCTTAGAACCTCTTTTCTTTGCTTTTCCTCCACACTGATTAGAGCATAACTTGATCAGGAAAATCAGATCAGACTAGTACTGCAGCATTTCCTAACTGGAACCTTGGGAAACTGTAAGAGGGGAAAGAGAATCAGTGATCAGCTATTTGTATTTTTAATACCATTCTCGTTCCCCACCTCTCTCCTGAATGAAGTAAGAGAGCAAAGACCTGGAGTACAGCTAAAGCAGTCTCCTTTTGAAGAATTTTTTTGAGGTCTAAGATATATTTTCCCCTTGTTTCGTGGTGATCTCTTTTATACTGTATCATTGCACAGTATGCTTTCTAAACTGAGCTTGAAATGTTTAATGCTCCTGCAGCTGGACTTTCTCTTTAACAATTACACAGACTTCACTTTTAGAAATAGATTAGGGAGCAGGGCACAATTTGCTCTTTCGGATTAGATAGGGGCAAGATGAAAGGCAGATTTCTTGCTTTTAAAATCATCTTGGTGGTGGCTCGGCACCTGTATCTTGGTGGTTAGGGCACCAGCCACATACACCGGGGCTGGCGAGTTCGAACTTGGTCTGGGCCTACTAAATAACAATGACAACTGCAACAACAACAATAAAATAGCTGAGCATTGTGGTGGGCACCTATAGTGCCAGCTACTTGGAAGGCTGAGGCAAGAGAATTGCTTAAGCCCAAGAGTTTGAGGTTGCTGTGAGCTGTGATGCCATGGCACCCTACCTAGGGTGACACAATGAGACTCTGTCTCAAAAAAAAAAAAAAAGCTTAAATAAAATCATCTTGGTGACCAGTATCTAAGGGCCAGAGGTAAGGAATCCAGTTACAATTATATTAAATATTAGTGCATGAATTCTCCAAGCCTCATCTTAGTATTCCATGAAGCACATGTAGGGTTGGAGTAGAGGCTTCTACATTAAATAATAGGTATATCTATCTGTTTTTATTGGTATTTATAACTCAGAAATCATAAATGCTCCTGTTTCTCCTATGCTTGTTTCTCTGGGAAGAAATGTTAATACATGTGAGTTGTGGGGAGAATTGTCCTTGCACCTCCTGGATTTATTATTTTTCTCAAACATCACCCACTAGGATCCCAAGGAACTTGAAAAAATTGTTCCCTGATCCCTTCACTTTTGATGTCAAAGATTTTACTTATCTTTTTAGTACTTTTTATGTATTTATATATAATTTTATACAATTAAAAAGATTTTTGTCTAGTGAGCCGGAATGATTCTTTCTTGCGACGTATATATCAAAGAAGCTCTAAAATGGCCTTTTTTTTTCTTTACATATATACTAAAAAAGAGTTATTAGTATTTGGGAGGATAGTTGAAAAATTAAATAAGATTGTACTCCTGGAGAAAGGCAACCTGCTTCCCCTTCTTCAGATTATTTCAGGAACTTGGATTTTGTCCTTGGTCCTTTCTTCTCAAGTTCTATGCATTTCTACGGCAGTCTCACCCACTGTGGTGACTTCAATTATACTATGCACATGACTTTCAAATCTGTTTCTTCCACCTCAACTTGTTTTTTGAGTTTTCACATCCATATTTCCACATACTTGACATTAACACCTGAATATGAAACACTTCAAACTCATCTATCCAAATTAAAACCCATTTCTCTACACTTGCTCCTCTTTGACTCCCTAGATGTATTACTTGAATTATTACCTACCCACTTATCTAAATCAGAAATCTCAGATCCCTCTTCTCTGTTATCCTCTAATCAGTCACTTACTGTCGTGTCACCCTTTATAAACTTCCTAATCTGTTTTGTTGCGATCTGTTTATTGCCTTAGTTCAAGTCCAATCCCTTCTTGTCTCTGGATTAGACCACTGCAATAGCTTCCTAACTGGTCTTTGCCTCCCTTCTTAACATCTTCCACAATACTGTCATATTTCTTTATAAAATACAGTAGACCCTCTGTAAGTTGACAATTCAAATAACTGTAACATACAGAGATGGTCAACATAAAGAATGAGATCGACCATACTGATACGTAAGTGTGGTGCATGATCATTGCTAAGAAAATTAGATTGACTTAGGGGGTGGTCAATATATGGAGGTGGTCAACTATGGAGGTTGTACTGTACTTAAGACTCCTTTGCTTAACCCATCACTTAACTATCTTTACCTTTAGCAGCATTTCCCAAAATTTTATATGTGAATCCTTGAGGTTACTTGAGATTTTAAGTAGAAGATAGATAAACTTTTTATTTTTAATAGTTATGCTTTTATTTGAATTTGCAGTAGAAAAATACTGGCTTTCCCTTTATGGAATATTAAAATTTCTTTTTAGTGTTAATTTATGTTTTCTAAAAGTCAGTCTATTTAAAGAAAAATAATAAGCAAAAAATAGTATGGGAACTATTTGCAAATGTTAAAAATCATGAATACTCAAATATCTTAAGTAGAAAAATTTCTTGCCCTACAGGATAAATTTCAAAATCCTTAGCATGCCAGTTTGATCCTGAATTATATTTCCAGGTTTATTTCCCAGTCATGCAGTGTTAGACATATAGAATTTCTTGCCATCCTGATATTCACTCATTCAATAAGTACTTACCAAATGTCTACTATAAGCGGAGCATTGGGCTAAACTTTGGGGATATGGTTGTAAATAAGCCCCTTTCCCATAAGGATTGCCTTCTAATGGGAAAAACAGACTATAAGTAAGTTAAAAGGCAAGCAAGGTAATTAAAGAATCTGATTTAGGTTCTGTGAAAGAAATAAACAAGAGTGAAGGAGGGTAGAGAAGACCCTTTTGGATGACAGTACTATTGAAAACTAAATGATAACCTTGAACCAGAGATGGGAACAGCTGGAGGCTAGAGGAAGAGCCTCAGGAACAGAAAGCTACAAAAGCTAGGATGAGAAAGAGCACACACCACAGTTGATGGAAAGCACAGGGTGAGCTTGACGGAAGACGGAGAAGAATAGTGGTTGAAAGGTTGGAGACACAGCCAGAGCAGAGTGTGTGAATTTGAATTTTAAAGAGCCAGGTATGGTGGCACATGCTCGGACTCCCAGTTACTCAGAAGGCTGAGGGAGAAGGACTGTTTAAGCCCACTAGTTTGTAGCCATCCTAGGCACCATAGCAAGACCTTGTCTCTAAAATAAATAAAATTAAAAAAACACAAAATGTCTAAGAAGAGATTTTAGTAGGTATGTGAACACTGATTTTTAAAACAATCACTCACTACCTACTGTGGAGCAGTATCAATACAACTGCTTTGCCTGTAAAACTACTTAGCCTCACGTCTCAGTACAAATGCAAAGCACTCCCTTCCCCTCCATAGTCCTAGAAACTTGGTGACATAGCACTTTATGATGACAATTACCATTTTCACAGTGTAATCTAAAACTTGAGTACTGAAAATGCAATTATTTGTCCTTGTATTGCCAGTATTAACTAAAAAATAATAATAACAAGGTTTATACTTTGGAAAAAGGAAAGCTTTATTTCTCAGAAAGAGTAGGAACCTAGTGGGCAGCCACTACAACAGGTGGGGAAACAGAGCCCAGGAGAAGCCAAGCACACTTCCTTCCTCTGCCTCAAAGAAGAGACAATAGGCAAGAGTGGCATGGTCAGATATATATATTTAACAAGCTATAGGCTCTGCGCCCGTAGCTCAGTAAGTAGGGCACCAGCCACATACACTGAAGCTGGCAGGTCCAAGCCCAGCCTGGACCTGCTAAAACAATGACAACTGCAACCAAAAAATAGCCGGTGATTGTGCCTGGTGCCTGTAGTCCCAGCTACTTGGGAGGCCAAGGCAAGAGAATCGCTTAAACCCAAGAGTTTGAGGTTGCTGTGAGCCGTGATGCCACAGCACTCTATCCAGGGTGACACAGTGAGACTCTGTCTCCAAACAAAACAAAAACAAGCTATAGAAGGAGCCATGAATATTTATAAAGAAAAATTATACATATATAATTGTGCTTTATCTTTCCCATCCCCTCATGGGTGGAAACTTAGTGTTAGGTTGTTTCTGGGGTCCTCTTGGCTGAGAGGGATCCATTCTAGAAGGCTTAAGATTTCATTTTTAGTCCACGTTAGCAACTCTTCTAATACTAGACACATACATATATTCAGAACTCTTTGGCTAGACAGGCGAGGTGGATCACTCCTATAATCCTAGCACTCTGGGAGCACAAGGCGGGAGGATCCCTTGAGCTCAGGAGTTCAAGATTAGCCCGTGCAAGAGTGAGACATCGTCTCTACTAAAAATAGACCAGGAGGGAGCCTGTAGTCCCAGCTACACCAGATGCTGAAGCAGGAGGATCACTTGAGCCCAGGAGTAAGAAATTGCTGTGAGCTATGGAGCCACGGCACTATAGCCTGGGCAACACAGTTGAGACTCTGTCTCAAACAAAACAAAACAAAACAAAAACCAGCCGAGTGCTGTGGCGGGCGCCTCAGCCCAAGAGCTGGAGGTTGCTGTGAGCTGTAATGCCGCGGTACTCTACCAAGGGCGACAAAGTGAGACTGTCTCTAAAACAAAACAACCCCCCCCCCCCAACCAAAACTGTTTAATAAATAAGTGAATCTGCAGTCCACTGTTGAACAGAATTCTGTTGAACAGAATTTCAGAATTTAGGGCCATTATGGGTTTTCCTTCGACTCCTAGGTTTTCAAATGTGAAACATCTGTACCATCTTTCAAAGAAGATAAGCCCCTATTTTGTTCAAAATCATTATTATTTTTTTAATTCTCAGAAGTAGTGAAGTTTGGGAGTTTTATTTTTTTTTATTTTTTATTTTTATTTTTTTGAGACGGAGCCTCAAGCTATCCCCCTGGGTAGAGTGCCATGGCATCACAGCTCACAGCAACCTCCAACTCCTGGGCTCAAGCGAGTCTCCTGCCTCCGCCTCCCAAGTAGCTGGGACTACAGGCGCCCGCCACAACGCGTGGCCATTTTTTGGTTGTAGCCATCATTGTTGTTTGGCGGGCCCGGGCTGGGGATTCGAACTCGCCACCTTAGGTATATGTGGCTGGCGCCTTAGCCGCCTGAGCCACAGGCCCCGAGACCGCTTTTTTTTTTTTTTTTTTTTTTTTTAAAAAGCTGGTATCTATCTCACCAGTCGTATTTCAACAGCAATCAGGTCTGTTAGTTTCCTTAGGAGAAATTCGGTGCTGCAGTATATTCCAGAAGTTTTTTGAACCAGCATTGCTGATCAAACGTTTTAAAAAATCGCTTCTATTAAAATAAGCTGCTCTTCGGAACAGGGTGCAGCCTAGAAGTTTTGAGAGAAAAAAAGTTTTTCAACTTCCATTTCCTAGTTTGAGGTAAAAAGAGATAGAAAGCAACCCTCCGATAAACAAAACACGCCGGGCTTGACTGCTAACAGTACACTCTTTCCCATCCACTGCCGCAGTTAGAAGAAAGCCATTGACTCCGCCTATCCACTAACTTAGCAACCCTCCTAACGCGGTTGCTTCAACTCTCGACCTACTCAAGATGGCTGCACAAGCACTTCCGGCATCTTTCCGAACGGGCCCCGACTCCATCTGCGTATTTTCAGCGCGCCGAGGGCGGGGCTTAGAGTTCGCCTTTGGTTGGTTAGTTTGCCTGGTGACCTTTCCCCTCTGCGACAGTTTTCCGAGGTGCCTACCGCCTGAGCGGCACAGAGGAGCGCTCGAACGAAGGCAAGATGGCAGATGTGTTGGATCTTCACGAGGCTGGGGGCGAGGATTTCGCCATGGATGAGGATGGGGACGGTGAGGACAGCAGAGGCGGCTGCGGGAAGTGGGGAAGGTGCGAGAGAAGGCTGTAGTAGGAAAATATAACTTCTATTCTTCCCGGCAGGGAGGAGGGCCGCTAGGGTGCTGGGGAACCGCGTCTAGTGGGAGTAGAGACTCCGCCCCCTTTGGCAGGAATGGGGGCGGGACCTAGAGGGAGGGAGACTGGACGTGGTGGTGGTATCTTTCGGAGAGCGTCTTGGGAAAGACACAGTTGTTAAAAAATGACTCTTGTTATTGTTACTTTTTTTTTTTTCTTCTGGGGCTCCAGAGAGCATTCACAAGTTGAAAGAAAAAGCGAAAAAACGGAAGGGCCGCGGCTTTGGCTCCGGTGAGTGTGGCGAAAATTAGGTAGAGTGGTGTTAGAGGGCAGAACTACGAGTTTTGGAGGCCCCACCTAACTCATGAAAAATAGTGAGAGAAAGGGGGAGTTTTCGGTGATCTCTTATATGTCCCTTACAGAAGAGGGGTCCCGAGCGAGGATGCGTGAGGATTATGACAGCGTGGAGCAGGATGGCGATGAACCCGGACCACAACGCTGTGAGTAAAATGGAATCTATGCGAGAGACCTGTGTGGAGAGTTAGAGACTAGTAAAGCTAAACCCAGTAGGAATGGGATCAGTGATAGTTTAGCCAAACTACTCCTGTGATCCTGATTGAAGTTTTTCTCTTATGTGCTCATACACTCCCTCCATTCCCCAACAGCTGTTGAAGGCTGGATTCTCTTTGTCACTGGAGTCCATGAGGAAGCCACTGAAGAAGACATCCACGACAAATTCGCAGAATATGGGGAAATAAAAAACATCCATCTCAATCTGGATAGGCGAACGGGATATCTGAAGGTATCCTAAGTGACACTTCATTGCTTTCCTTCCGTTAATAACTCTTAGCATTGTTAGCTTTGGCGTGTTTGGTTTGGTTGGCCAAGAGTAAGGGTGAAGTAAAATGACGTTGAAATTGATTTTTTTTAGACACAGGGAAGAGACAGAAACAGATTATATATATAAGAGATACATGCTGTACGTTGTTTAAAGTTTACAAGTTTTTCTCTTTTAAGTATGAGTTGATATTTGAGGAAGAGGATACTTGGTGAAATAGGAGGGTTTTAATACTTCTCTTTTCATTTGCCCCAGGGGTATACTCTAGTTGAATATGAAACATACAAGGAGGCCCAGGCTGCTATGGAGGGACTCAATGGCCAGGATTTGATGGGACAGCCAATCAGTGTTGACTGGTGTTTTGTTCGGGGTCCACCTAAGGGCAAGAGGAGGTAAAGTGGAGAGAGCAAACACTGTCTTGGTAAAGGGTGTATGAACAAAACAGAACAAGGACATCTTATGTCCTTCTGATGGAGTCCTCTCCTTTTTATTTCCCATAGAGGTGGCCGGAGACGCAGCAGGAGTCCAGACAGGAGACGTCGCTGACAGGTCCTCTTGTCCAGGTGTTCTCTCCAAGATTCCATTTGACCATGCAACCTTGGAGAAATAAGGCTGGGATGGAACTTGTTGTGTTTATATTTAATCTCTTACCCTACCTGCTTAGAGGTTTTTTTTTTTTTGAGTTATGAATAAATGTTCCATTTTTGTTTTCTACATTTGAAAATTATTTTTTGTTTTGCAATTGGAAGCTCTGAAACACTGTTTACAGTAAGGCAATATGGATCATTGGGAAGATATTTCTAGGGCAGGGTTCCTCAAACTTTTTAAACAGGGGGCCAGTTAATTGTCCCTCAGACTGTTGGAGGGCCAGACTGTGGGCCCCAGGATGAGTCGGCTGCTAAGCAGGACAGGCAGCAGTGACAGAAACGTCAGGATGACAGGATGTCTTAGGCAGGCCCGCAGGCCGTAGTTTGAGGACGCCTATTCTAGGGACTGAGTTTTATGTGAGTTTCTACATGAGGTATAGTTTCCAGTGTTAGGTAGGGTTAATGTAAAGACACTTTTCAATATTTCTTTTTTTAGAAACTAAGAAACCTGGGGGAGAAGTGAAACATTCACATTCTTATGGTATTAGAAAATAATTATTCTGGGCTAGGCGTGGTGGCTCATGTCTGTAATCCAAACACTGTGGGAGGTCGAAGCAGATAGATCACTTGAACTTAGAGGAGTTTGTGATCAGCCTAAGAGAGACACCTCCATCTTTGCAAAAGTAAAAAAACTATGTTACTTTGTTTATTTTTTTCTCGGTGGGCACCTGTAGTCTCAGCTACTGGCAAGGCTAAGGCAGAGGATTGGTTAACCCAGGAGTTTGAGGTTGCTTTGACCTAGGCTGACATTATGGGCACTTTAGCCTGGACAAGAAAGTGAGACTCTCTCTCAAAAAAAAGAAAAATCTGTTCCTGTGTACTCTATTGTAAGCAAATGGTTGTGATAGGAATGTCTGTTTGTTTCTCTTGCCTTTTTTTCTTAATTTTAGACAGTCTCACTGTGTCGCCTTTGGTAGAGTGCCATGGCATCACTGCTCACAGCAACCTCTAACTCTTGGGCTTAGGTGATTCTCTTGCCTCAACCTCCTAAGTAGCTGGGATTACAGTTGCCTGCCACAATGCCCGGTTATTCTGTTGCCGTTGTTGTTTAGCTGGCTTGGGCCAGGCTCAGATCCACCACCCTCGGTGTTCATGGCTGGCACCATAACCACTGTGCCATGGACACTAAGCCTCTCTTGCCCTTCTTAATGTTATGTTTATTTGTACTTCTAGCTTCTAAGGTCTTGAATCTCCTGTGGGTATTTTCCCACACACTCCCCTGAAGGAGTCTGTAGTAGGTCTTTGGTACCCTCTTCTGCAGCCAGAGGGCGAAGGCCCTGTAGAGAAGATCCAGAGGAGCCATTGTTGAGGAGGCCAAAGAGGAAAAGGATGTGGCTGAGGTGTTTGAATTAATATGGTAGGGGGAGAACCAGTACCACAGACCCAGTGGGTAATACGGTATACAGCAGAGATCAGCAAGACAAGCAGGGGCAGTCACAGGGCCCAAAGACAAACACAGGGGCAATTGTCTAATGAGCAGCAGAGGGCAAATTCATTGGCAGCAGGTAGAAATTTAGAAAATATACTCAAATTCAGAACCACTCAGCTTCTGATCTGAGTATGGGGTGACTTCATAGAGGGGCAGAGATCATGAGATGGAGCTCTTTCCCCTGCAAAGAGAATGCTGCAAACTCTCTAGCTTCCCAACCTGGGACCATATGATCCCCTGTCACCAGAGATTGTGACAGACATGTTGGAGAAAAAGGTTTTGATCGGGTGGTATTATCTAAAGCCACTAAGTCTACTTTAAGACTTGATGGTATTGGCTTGGCGCCTGTGGCTCAAGCGGCTAAGGCGCCAGCCACATACACCTAAGGTGGCGGGTTCGAATCCCCAGCCCGGGCCTGCCAAACAACAATGACAGCTGCAACCAAAAAATGGCCAGGCGTTGTGGCGGGCGCCTGTGGTCCCAGCTACTTGGGAGGCTGAGGCAGGAGACTCGCTTGAGCCCAGGAGTTGGAGGTTGCTGTGAGCTGTGATGCCATGGCACTCTACCCAGGGGGATAGCTTGAGGCTCCATCTCAAAAAAAAAAAAAAAAAAAGACTTGATGGTATTCATGAATAAAGAATACTGCCCAGGCACTGTAGCCCAAGCCTATAATCCCATCACTCTGAGGTGGGAAGATTGTTTGAGCTCAGAATTTAGAGACCAGCCTGAGCAAGAGTAAGATCTTGTCTCTATTAAAAATAGAAATATTAGCCAAGTATAGTGGTGAGTGCTTGTAGTTCTAGCTACTCAGGCGGCTGAGGCAGAAGGATCACTTGAGCATAGGAAGTTGAGGTTGTTACTAGCTTATGTCTTTTCACTCTGTCCAGGGTGAAAGCAAGACACTGCCTCAAAAATAATACTAAAACTAAAGAATACTGGCTGGGCACAGTGGCCCATACCTGTGATCCTAGCACTCTGGGAGGCCAAGGTGGGAGGATTACTCGAGGCCAGGAGTTGAAGACCATCCTGAACAAAAGAGAGCTCCTCGATACAGAAAATAGAAAAATTAGGCGGGTATATTGATCTGAGCCTGTAGTCCCAGCTACTTGGCAAGCTGAGACAGGAGACTTACTTGAGCCTGGGAGTTTGAGGTTGCAGTGAGCTATGATGCCATTGCATTCTACCCTGAGCAACAGAGTGAGACTGTCTCAAAAAAAAAAAAAAAAAAATACTGATCACTTTTCTCCCTAATCTGCCCAGCTAACTCAGCTAGAAGCTATTTGAATTGAAGGCATTCAATGAAATTACCTCCAGCATAGGGTACGAGAGATATGGTTAAGACCTTACTTTGGTTTAGTGACTGACAGCTATCAGGTAGATAGATCGTGCTGGAGGCAACAGTTCTCTGGGTAAGGATTAACACCTAGGAACTGGAGTCTTATCAGGGGTCCCCTTCCTTTCCTGGCCTGGATATACTGAGGACAGTGCACCTATAGCAGATGGGCCTGGCTTTCAGTGGCAATAGAAGTGAAGAGGTTATGGGTGGTCTCTTGCTATTGAGCCTTTGGTGATACATCAGGTGAAGGGACTGGGCTAGCTTGGTGGACAATGGAATAGGAACAGCTGGAGTTAAAGACAATTAGAACTGATTTCCCCAACCTACCTACCTATGTCACACTCCCATTTCATCCTTAACCAGGTGAAGGAGCGCAGTGCTGGCTTAATAGTTCCTCCATGGTGCCATTTTAGAGGGGTTAGAAATGTATCTTGAAAATGTTTATCTGAACAAGTTTCCTAAGTCTTGGAGCTTAAAAGGATCCTGCCTTCTCAAGCACAGATCTTAACATTACACTTTATAAACTCTACCTCCTCACCTCTATTTTTGGCTGAAATGATTTTCCTGATTTCTGTATGACAAATTTTGTGGAAAAAATATATAAAATGGGTGCTGTTAAATTTCAGGTCATTTTGCAGCCACTCTCAAGTGACCTTTAATAGTAATAGTCTTATACGATAACTATAATAGTTAAACAGTGTTAAATAATAAAACTTAACATTTACCAAATACTGTTGGCTACCCCACCCTTTTTTTGGATTGAATCAGTAAAGACTATGTTTCAGTTTAGAGGTGGCAGGGTTAGAGTGCTTTGGTTTCAGTAATGTAGATGGAGTCACATTTGATGAAATATAAGCTCAATAGGTATCAGGTTCCTAGGTATAAGGCATTTGGGAAAGTGATTTTAGCAGGGACAAGTCACTTTTAGGAATACCAAATTTTATGAACTGCTTGGAGTTAGGTTACTCTGAGCTGGTTGGGGAATGATCTTTTTCCTTCCTATTGTGTTGCATCCATATATTTCTGGGTGTTTGCCTCCCTATCTCCTGCTGTGACTTGAAAAGTTAGAGAATTGTGAGAAAGAGTATAAAATAGTCAAAGCTCCTGAACTTACAGTTTGTAGCTTTGTTTCTCCTATTTTATGTGCTACTTAGTGGCTACTATAGAAACTATTCTTTTAACTACTGACAACTTGGAAACTTGAGCCCACCAAAATAGGTGATCTTTAAAACTACTTGTAATACTTCCTCACCATACTTAACATCACACTATTGGAAAAAAAAATTTTTTTTTGAGACAGTCTCACTATGTCGCCCTTGATAGAGTGCTGTGCTATCACAGCTCACAGCAACCTCCGACTCGTGGGCTTACGTGATTCTCTTGCCTTGGCCTCCCAAGTAGGTGGAACTACAAGTGCCTGCCACAACACCCAGCTATTTTTTGGTTGTAGTTGTTTGGCAGGCCCGGGCTGGATTTGAACCCACCAGCTCTGGTGTATGTGGCTGGTGCCTTAGCCTCTTGAGCTATAGGCGCCAAGCCTCTTTTTAATATTTGAAGTAGTAGAGGTGCAACATATTGTTGGGGGCAATATATTTTGTACTTCTAATTACAGTCAAACTACTTTTTTAAAAAAGATAGTTTCACTCTGTGGCCTGGGCTGGAATGCAGTGGCATGATCATAGCTCACTGCAGCCTTGAACTCCTGGGCTCAAGTAATCCTGCCTTAGCCTACCGAATTGCTGGGATTATAGGCATGAGCTATCATGCCTGGTTTGTACAATAGTCAAACTTACTTAGTAAATTTCTAATAATTCAGGATTTAGGGATCAAATCTTAAATCTGACTGTAATGCATTATCATTTCAGAGACTGAAATCATAAACCTTTCTTGGCCTCCTTCCACAGGCATGATCATCCTGTGGTCTCAGATGCTACTTTATTTGGTTCCCCTTCCCCTTTATAGTGGTAGTGGTTTTTGTTTTGTAAGAATTGGATTTTTCTAGATTTCTAGCTCCTTTTCCATGTTGAGATTTTATTAACCTAGTAGGCAAGTTCAGATGCTCCCTTGTTTGTAGTTTTAATAATAAAGCCAGTTTGTAAAATACAAATCTGATTATGTTACTCTCTGCCTTTTTACTTTGTTTCGGTTTTTTTTTTTTTTTTTTTTTTTTTTTTTTTTTTTTTTTTTTTTTTTGAGACAGAGCCTCAAGCTGTCCCCCTGGGTAGAGTGCCCTGGCATCACAGCTCACAGCAACCTCCAACTCCTGGGTTCAAGCGAGTCTCCTGCCTCCGCCTCCCAAGTAGC